TTTGTCATTTGCATTAGATTAAAACCGTCTGCGCACTCTGACTGAAACCGTTCAGATTCCTTCTCGTCAATACATTTAACAGTTCCAGAAGCGCAAATGACAAATGACAAAGCGACGAAAAAGCACGCCCGCGTATTGTTGATCAAGCGCGATTTTAGAGGCACTAGTTCTTCCTGCAAGCGTGGAGGATATACTTTTTTCGCGGAAAAAAGACGGGAGGAAAGCACGACCCACTAGCGACGAGGCCATGGCTCCGCCCAGTGGCCACTGCAACGCCCAACTTTCATTCTTACAATTAGAGGCTCCCTAGTGGTGCAGTTGTTCCACTAATAACTCCATGAACGATGAGAGTGTGGTAATAAGGAGAGATAGCTGATCCCGACAAGCGAGAACTCGCCCGACCACGCCCTTTTTCGCTTTATGCATTCACTGTTCGCAGTTCGGCATGGGGTCCTATGTGGGGGATTTCGGACAAGTTTCCAGTGTTTTTCTCCACTTTTGTATTATCTACCATCTTTCCATTATTACTTGAGCCGTACAAGTCACCATTTTCGAACGCGGGGCGTGTCTTTGAGTTCAGAGGAGTCCCAATAGGTGATCCGGTCCTGAAAGGAAATTTGCTATGGAACAGTGGCTACAAATTCTCTCCCGCTACCGCTATGCGGACTGGTTGAACAGCGTTCTACTTGAACGAAGTTCCCCGGAGTCGTCAGTGGCCAGAAAGGTCACAATCAGTTACTGGACCCGATCAGTGCAGTAGAATGTTGTGCATAAGCTGAGGCGTTTGTGGATCTTGTGGGGTATTTTTTCTCTCGACGCTATGGTTACCAGCGAGTCCATTGTACTTATAGTTCAGCTGCAAAGAAAAGTGGAAACTCTACCATTAGCCTCATAAAAATTCACTTGTTCCTCGACAGCTCAGGACCACACGTTTCGAAAATGATACTGCTCAGTATCATGGAGCTCTAGTAGGGAGATCCTACCGTAGGACCATAGCTTTCACCGTCCAACCCCCAATTTGAAAATCCTGAAAATTCCTTCTGACTGAAATCTCATTTCCTTAAACAATCATATTCTGGATAAGAAACACGATTTTCAAAAGCAGTTCAAGATTTAAGCCTAGGGGCAATCCCCATGTTCTGTTCATTAGATGGTTAGGCCGCTTCCTTGGACATGCTAGTCTTCCTGCAAGCATGCAGGAACTACTTTCGTAGCTCAGATATACACGAGGGAAGCCCTGCCCGCTCGCGACTTGCCATTGCGTTGTGATCATTTTCTGGAAAAATACGACACCTCCCTTAATTCTGTCCTCAAATACGACCCCCCCCTCCCCATGCTACCTACCACTTTCCTAGATTTTCCCAACTTCCTACCACTTTCCATTTTTTCCCGAAAAAATTTCCAGTTTTCAGCCAAGAATTTTCCATCGAGCGGGTGGGGAGGGTTATACTCTAGTTCTCTGCGGACGGTTGGGCGTGTCAGCCAGTATGAGTGTGTCACCCTATCAAAGCCGTTCTCTGCCTTCTTGTTGAAGAGCGCATGCGACAAAAAGTGGTAGAAAACGAGTAATACGAAGGATATGATACAGTATTGTCACTTGCCCGCTTCAACAACTGGTGTAGAACGAGTTTGGCACCGCGCCAAACGCAGCCGCACTGACACGCCCAACCGTCCGCAGCGAACTACACTATACACCAACTGTGAAACAGGAAAATTTCTCAGATTTCCTCAACCTCCTACCAGTTTTTCCGAAATTTCCTTGGTTTTTCCCCAAAATTTTGCTGTCGAGCGGGGGAGGTCGTCAGGATTTACTATCATTTTCAACTATCGGAAATAGTAGTTGTATGGATCTTTGGCAGTCCCTCTCTCAACAACGGCCAAATACGACCCCCTCCCCCCATTGTGATCATCACAACGATGGCGTGCCCTGCCTGCCACTGGCCACGGTGACGCCCAACTTTTATTTTTGCCCTGCCTGCCACTGGCCACGGTGACGCCCAACTCTTATTTTTAGCTGTTACCTGGTGGGGCTGTTGTTCGGCTACTCCAGTTCTAATGGTGGTAGTGAGGTGATAAGCAGAAAGAGCTGGCACCACTAGTGAGAACTCTTCCGACCACAGTGTTTCTTCTCTTGTGCACGTACGGGCGCGATTGTTCGTGGGAGGGGGCATTTTGGGCCGCTTTTAGTGCTTTCTTCGTTTTTGTAACATTTATCAACTTTCATTAGCATTTGAGCCGTACAAATCACTATTTTCGAACGCGGGGTGTGCCTCAAACGCAGGCAGCGTTTCTACGACCAACTCTGAGATGACTCAGCATAGAGAAGTGACGATAGCCACGGAAACATGATTAATGGCAGCGCTTGGCAGATAGCCGATTCCGACATGTGCTGACTGCTTGCTTGGTTGTCACGCCATACGGCCGTGACGGCTTTTATCCTATGTAGGTAGTGTTCGTGTCCCATGGACGACTATCAGAGGTTTTCTCAACTAGTTTTTCAGGCAATGGACTTCACTGCTATAGATGAAATTATCGAACGAGCTCGAAAAAACCATAACCACAAAACGACTGACGCACTCTATAAGGAAGCTATAGCCGAAGTTGAGGCTGCTTGTCAGAATGTTGACGCTGAAGAAAGGAAACAGTTGCGACATGTGAGTTTAAGATCAAAGTCGGAGTGCAGTTGTGCAGGTCTGCAATGGTTGTAGTCGAACGCAGCGTTCAGACTTCGCGAAACAACGTTCCAATCTATAGACGTGAACACACCTCCAGACGAGAATCGATTGGCGCTGACCGCTTGTGTTCTGAGAGAGTATAGAATAAGGAGGGTATGTGCTGCCTTCACACAATCAAATACTTCTATAATAGTAGAATCCTATTTTTCTATAATCTCCTGGAGCCTTTACAATCAATGCCACCAATAGTACACTGCGTGGTTAAGCAACGCAGCCTCCTGTTCCCCCCCCCCCTATTCTCTCTCAGCACCGGCTCCGATCGATTCCCGTCTGCGGCTGCGTTCGCGTCGATAGAATCGGAGCCTGTTGCAGTTTTAGCGCTTCGCGTCGATAGAATCGGAGCCTGTTGCAGTTGTAGCGCGTCGGCACGCGTCACAGCTCGTCGTTGCGCGTCATCGCGAAGTCTGAACGCTGCCGAAGGTATCTTTTTAAATAGTACATCTTTGTTCCTGGTATATACAGTTTTCTTCATTGCAGACCGGTGGGGCGGGTGAGCCGCGTCACGCGCAGCGCGGCTCACCCGCCCCACCGGTCTGCAATGAAGAGGACTGTGTTAGTGATGTGGGTGTGTCATATCCGCATGAATGGTCACTTGGAAGTTCTACTAGTTTCGGCAATCTTTCTTAGAATTCTGTCTCTCTTCGGAACTCGGGTCATTTCTTTCATGGGAGTTCTGCCCTCTCAAAGAATATTCTGCTTCACCTTGAGCACGTTAATGTGCACGCTTGAGGTCAGAATGCTTTGCTCCTGCGCCGCGGTTACCCGATTCACAGGGCAGTAAGGGCGCCAAGCGAATCAGGTATCTTTGACCGCGGACTCACACAATCCCTTGAGGCAAGTATTCATCACGTTCGATAGTCGGTGTTTTAGCCGTGGCGCCAGGTGTTTTCGGGCGAAATGGATGTGATGCGCGTGATCGGCAGGTCAAATGACACCAGGCTGTGAAACCCTAGCGAGCTTTCCGACGGAGGATCGACTGAATTCTGTGCTGAATTTTGGGGCTGGGTGTAGTTGGTCTGATCACTTTCAAAGGCGATTGTATCTCGTTGAAAGTGGGGTTCGGATACAACTTTATAGGTGCTGTTTGACCTACTATTGAGGGAAAGCACGAATCCAGCAAAAGGGACCTAATTCAAAGTATCAAAAGGGCTATGGATGAGGCCACTTCCTGCTAGTAATTTTGGGTACCGAATGAGTAGACAAAGAAGCGAAAGGTCAAAACACATCGTTAATGCGACGAGAGATCAGAGGCAAATTATGAGAGAACAGAATGGTGAGCGAGACGACAGACGGTAAAGTTCTCCAATGGCATTCGTCTCTGGTTTGAGAAATCGAGCGTATGACAGTCTCAGTGAAGTCGCGGGTTGCTTTCGAGCAGCAAAATGGTGGAAGTACTGCAATTTCTTCATTGGTTTTACCCCCACCTCCCCCCTGGCCAGTTCAATTGTTTGTTGTAGTCTTTCATCATTTTTCGGTGGGCAATTATTATTTTGGTTTGCTTCGAGAAAACTGTGAAAGGCTTTCATTTTTATTAATCTTTTTTCAGATAATCACGCTGCTTCGTAAAGAAAGAAAAGCGAGAGCAAAAGAAACCGACAGCGTGAAGGAAATGTACGCAACAATGCAATCGCTGGAGAACCCGATTGACAGTCCTCCGGCAGATCCAGATGTCTGGCCAGCACCTCCCCCCAAAAGAACTACCACTCAGACTACTCGTACAAAATCCACTGCAAACAAGGTATTGTCTATCGTGTTCGCAGAGCAAACGTGCTTCGAGTGGCTTCGTGCAGGAGCTCGTGGCTTGATTAATCACACAACCACAAAAATTTCTCAAAGTAGGTGGGACGCTAAGATAGCAAATATTATACTGGACTCCCTCACAAAATTAACCACGATTTCCTCCAAGTACCCGGATATAGGGGAACTTTATATCGAAATGCCGCAACTGCTACCGTTTTAGCTTATCTAACTTACCTCTGCTTGGATTTTTTATCGGCAAGAGCATTCTGGCTGTTCGACTTCTTCACCGGTTTCTTTACAGTCACTGCCACTTTTTCTTCACCGTCATTAAGCGACCCGGAAACCCTAGCATACATTTATCAACGTTCGAAATACTTAAAACAAATATGATAGTAAAGGAGAAAAACATTGGCTTTTAATGTAGCAAACCACTGTCGGTCAGTTTGCGTTATACTTGGGTCTACCCCCGGGAAATGGTGCTGTGGAGATACAGTACAGGTATCGATCGCTACTTGTTCGCCGCTGTTTCTTTAAAGCAAAGGATCGACATTATAAATCGCTTTTTCTCCCAAAACTCTCAAACTCTGAAACCTGATAGCCAAATCTTGTCAAAACACTTGCGGAAAGCTATCCACTGCATATTACTAGATCTCTCCTTTTTTCGAATACTCCCAAAACGCCACCGAGATTTTAGTGGAACCCCCATTCTCCCACATTGCTAGCAACCGGCGCCACTCGATATTTATAATTTCAATTTCGCGAATTCTCCAAGAACGCCGATTTTTTTAGAACCCCGTTTTCTCGAACCGCCAGCGAGCGACACCCATTGATACCTACATGCGACATTTCGTCAAAGCCAATTTTTTCTTTGAGGAGTGCGACCTTCCTCAACTGCTGTCGATTAAATACTTAGCCTTTTTCCGCGCTCGTTTGCCAAACAAGGTCAATTCTGCAAAAAGACGCGTCTGGAATATTAGGTCATCCCATTCAAAGTGGCCGACACATATAGAGGAATGGCAGAAAAGCAAAGGGGATAGAGCAGCGGGCTACTATACCATTTGGAAGCTAGTACCTTAAGCTGTGTATCTGTGAAATTTGGCGAACCTAGCCTTCTGAAGAAGTTCTCGAGAAATTGAAGAGAAGCCCGAGTGGTGTAAGATCGGCGCTGTTTTCATCAAGACTCATAATAAAGAACGCTGGCTGCTCAAATTGACCTGGCGCCATATTGTGTGTAAGGACCATAGTTGTGTGTAAGGGTGTTCTCGAAATCACGGTGGTGAAGTTCTGGTTCAGGAGCCCGTACAAGGAAGAAAGGAAAAAATTTGTTGTCGTGGGTGGTCCCATAATATTCATCCTGCACAAGAAAAACGGGTGGATGAAGTCAGGCACTGAATATCTGATCACAGAGCCTGGACCCTTGTCGAGCTTCCCCGCGAGTCTGACATCCCAGCTGCAACTGCTGCCCGAGTTATGTCCGATAAACTGAGGATGGTCAAGAGGGTGGCGCATGGGTACCCATTTTCTTATAGAAGCACGAACGCAGTACCGATTCTATACCTCCAGCAGTAATGTTCTCAGCATGAGATGTCACTCACAACTGTGAAAACGCACCCCGGCCCTAGATGAAATATGGGTGGTCTCGGACCTCGAGTCGAAACTCACAATCGTCAATTTTCTATGAATGCAGATGAGAAGCCGCCCGAGTTCTACCATGAAGAGTTACGTGGGCGCAAGTGGATGATCATCATAGCAAAGGATTCCCACACTGTGGCTTTCAAGCGGCTCTATACAGAGGACAAATCCGTCACTGTCGTGCATATTGCCTGTTCCTCGGCATTCAGATCGACAAATGGATGGTACCACACAACTACAAGAAGGCCACCGTTGCTCGTCATAGTGCCAGACCCCGAGTAACTGTATTGTAGATCAGTGCTGGGACACAAACAATACTGAGACCTGAGTTCAATCGTCCCATTCGCCCGTCATAAAGCCATGCGATTACAACTGTTCTATTCAGTAGAGAGTACTCTTCGACGGCAGACGCTACAATGTTTTGTCATTTGCCGAAATTGGCAACAACAGCAATTTACTCACACTTGTTGAAAAATCGAAGGTACCAGAGGTCCAAAGGCCCTCGGGGCACTGGGAGCGGGTCATTGGTGAAGGAGGGATTTACTCATCCTAAAGCTGAAAATATCACTTTTCTATCTATTCTCCTCTTGTTTTATTCAAAAAAAACCATCGGCCACTTTGAATGGGATGACCTAAT